CGCCTAAAACACATGAACACACCTCCTGGTCGCAGACAGTTTAATTACTGCCGCAAGCCGCACTTTGCTGCTGCTTGCTGTGTTTTTGGCCTAAGGACACCCCTATTTGTTGTGTCAACACCACAAGAACGGAGACTTTTTGCGGAACTTTTTAGCTCTTATTTCAGGGTAGGTAATCTTAAGTTAAATGCAGAGCGATTGGTCCAGATGTTGTAAGTGCACATTGATTTTTTCCAACAAGGCCAGTGTGTCATCAGCAACCACCATTTTTAAAAACCTGTTAGTTATGTAAACAAGACTACACAAAACACAAACAACAGCTCGTAACATGAGAAAAATAGAAGGAAATGCAGACCTAGGGACAGACCATGAAGTCCAGGCTTTACTGAGCATACATGTGACAATGGACATACACTCAAACATCAAAGTTAAAGTAACTTTGCTGTACCAACCACTAGCCGGCTTACAGTACGTCACTTCAGCGTTTCTATTGACGATGTAAATGCAAACAGAAAAAAAGCCCTCCAAGGTATGCAGCTCTTGAAGGAGTTCCCAAAACAGTTTTAAGAATACAAGTCATCTCAACCATGCTTTCGTTTACAAAACAGTCCTGACTCAGGGTCCACTGGCAAGCTTCCTCTGGAGCTTTCAACCAAATGACAGAAGTTCCAGGGAAAGAAACAATTCAGCCACTTACAATAACAATCTGAGCCCCTGTGGCATAAATAACCACTTTTAATGGACGTACAGTGACGGTGTTCAAGTGCCCCTTCACTGAGTCCCACCCCTGAACGCACACTGGCCAATCATAATGTAGCATCGGACCAGTCCAGACCAGGGTCTGACAACAACACAGCTGTGCTCCATTGAATCTAATGCAATCATTGGCTGGTTTTGTGGATTTGGAGCTAAATGTTGTTCCTGGGGCACGTCGTGTATTAATGATACTCGTTACCTGGAGAGGTTGGAAAAAGATATACGTTTCTTCCCTGTTCCAAAACCAAAATCAAACCCTGAAAAGTGTAGGGTTAGCTAGCTAGCTACTGAAGATATAGCCTACTGAATGTATACACATGCTGCTTTTGCTTTTTCATGATTATAACAGTGAAACAAAGACCGACCCTGCTGTACAGGAACCAGTGAAGTGAAGCAGGGAACCCAGTTCATCTTCACACACTGTGATGCCACACAGCTGGTTCAATATCAGCAAAGTTTCCCTTTATATTCATTGTCTTGTGTGGCGATCAGCAGTGATGTGGTGGTTCACTTTCACACTGTGATCTGTAGCCTTTAGTTCTGCTTTAGCTTCTAACTATCTTTGTCTTTTTAACCTGTTGTTGCTGCTGAGTCAGTTTGACATCCTGGATATATCCTTCAAACACAGACTGTAGACCCCTCTGTCTGCTTCTTTCTGGAATCACTCTTTCATTTCTCCAAAAACATGACATTTCTTCAGGGAGTGCAGTTAGTCACAGTGTGGGCTCCATGCTTACTCTGACAGCTTGTGGGACCATCGCAAAGGGGCGGGGCTTAGTGAAGGGTCAATTGCCCCTTGTGCTTCCATTGCAGCTGCCAGCTGCTGCCCGCTTGTTCAAATCTGGACCAATTTCAAAAACAGTTGTTCACATCAGTTTCTGTGACCAATTTACACAGGGTAATAGGGTCCAGAGCTGCCAAAGCTATCCTTTAACTATTGGACAAAAGACTTCGGGGGCCCCATAGGTCCCGGGATCACTGTATAGCGAATGGTTGGTTAGCTCATCTTGCAGAGCAGCTTCAGAGGCCATGTGTCAAACTCTGGTTTTAAGATCTTTATTATTCAAAAAGGCTGCAGCAAGGCAATTACAGGAGTACAGTGAGTACTCTGCTGTGTACACTGACAATTTAAAGGTGACAGGGTACACACAATGCATTGAGGGTGGGCCGCCAATAGGGGTGGACATAATGTTTTTTTGCCCTAGGGCCTAACAGGTTAATCTGGTCATGCAACTGATGGCAACTGGACTATCTTTGTGTAAAATTACAAAACAAACACTGGATTCAGATTATTTTGTCAACACACTATTCCAAGGTCAAAACTTTCACACTCATGGTTTCATGCATTCACGGTGCTTACACAGGCTACAGACAGGCCAGTGTATTCCTCATGCGGGTCTGTGTTGCAGTGCCAAAGCCAAACAGCTCAGACGTCCCTCTCTCTGCAGCCTTGATGGTGTACTGATGTTTAAAAACGCTCCATGTAGCACTTTAAAAGTTTTTGATTTGGGGAACATTGTGAGTCGCTTTAAGGGCCAGTGGTTTGCTGACCCACTGCACCCAGGGAAAAAATGAATCAAAGAACCTTTGACTCTGCCCTGCATGCTGATTGACACCTGTGTGTGCCGCACCGAACCGCTCGGATGTGCATATCAATGTGCGGGCCTGTGTGCGCGAGTGTGTTTGACACACACTCCTCAAACATAGGGGGACCCTGTTCTAGCAGACACAGCCCAGGAAGCTTTGCTGAGCTGGAGGAAGAAAGAAGCCTGTGTGCATGTGTGTGTGTATGTGCTTGTATTTTCTGCCTATTCACAAGAGCACAGACATACACAAAGGCATCAATACATATACACACACACACACACACACACACACACACACACACACACACACACACACACACACCTTCCTCTGCTGTGCTGCAGGTGAAAACTGCTTAAACTGGAAGAATCCCTGTTATATTTATCCCTTTGATACATTTGTGGGTCAGCTCGAGCAATGATTCACCAAAGCCTCTTTCACTTTCTTTACACTTCAAACACAGCAGCACGTCCCACCTCAGCTTCTTACCTTTGGTACCGGACTTCTACTCAATGCCAAATTGCCTTCAAAAAAGCAGCCACGCTACTGTGACTGTCACATGAAATTGGACCCATAGGCGCCCACTTTCAACACAACAATGAATGTACACTTACCCACCAGTTTATTAGGTACACTTGTTCAGCTGTTGATTAACGCAAAAAGCTAATCAACCAATCATGTGGCAGTAACTCAATGCATTTAGACATGCAGACATGGTCAAGACGACCTGCTGACGTTCAAACTGAGCATCAGAATGAGGAAGAAAGGTGATTTAAGTGACTTGAACGTGGCATGATTGTTGCTGGCACAACCATCTCTAGGGTTTACAGAGGATGGTCTGAAAAAGAGAAAATATCCAGTGAGCTGCAGTTCTCTGGGTGAAAATGCCTTGTTGATGCCAGAGGTCAGAGGAGAATGGCCAGACTGGTTCAAGATGATAGAAAGGCAACAGTAACTCAAATAACCACTGGTTACAACCAAGGTCTGCAGAAGACCATCTCTGAACCAACAACACGTCCAACCTTGAAGCAGCAGAAGACCACACCAGGTGCCACTCCTGTCAGCTAACAACAGGAAACTGAGGCTACAGTTCACACAGGCTCACCAAAACTGGACAATAGAAGATTGGAAAAACGTCGCCTGGTCTGATGAGTCTGGATTTCTGCTGCCACATTCAGATGGTAGGATCAGAATTTGGTGTAAACAACATGAAAGCGGTTCAGGTTCAGGCTGGTGGTGGTGGTGTAATGGTGTGGGGGAGATTTTCTTGGCACACTTTGGGCCCCTTAGTACCATCTGAGCATGGTTTAAACACCACAGCCTACCTGAGTATTGTTGCTGACCGTGTCCATCCCTTTATGACTACAGTGTATCATCTTCTGATGGCTACTTCCAGCAGGATAACGCACCATGTCACAAAGCTCAAATCATCTCAAACTGGTTTCTTGAACATGACAATGAGTTCACTGTTCTCCAATGGCCTCCACAGTCACCAGATCTCAGTCCAATAGAGCACCTTTGGGATGTGGTGGAACGATGGATGTGGAGATTCTCATCATGGATGTGCCGCCGACAAATCTGCAGCAACTGTGTGATGTCATCATGTCAATATGGACCAAAATCTCTGAGGAATGTTTCCAGCATCTTGTTGAATCTATGCCACCAAGAATTAAGGCAGCTCTGAAGGCAAAAAGGGTCCAACCTGGTAGTAGCAAGGTGTACCTAATGGTGTGGGTGTTACGCAATGTTTTGTTTCTTGGCAGGTGGATCGTAACAGTCCCTCCTGGGATGAGTCCAGATGTCATTGGGAAGCGCAGCTTAAATGGACTTTGCCTCTTCAGCAAAGAAAGCCTCCTCTTTCTGTTTTCACTGAGAGCAGCAGAACACACACAAACAAGCGCACACACACACACACACACACACACACACTCTGAGCAATCTCTATAATTAGTCTATACTGCAGTGAATGAACAGCAGCATTGGATAAACTGATAAACTTGCCCCCAGTCGCCTCATGAAAGAATGGAAAACTGCACTGATGATAGAAAACATAAACAACTGATAACATCAGTCCATTTTAAAAACACACACACTCACTCCGGTGTGGGAGCTCCACAAATATCCTGGTGATTTTCGCAAGATCAAGATGGACATATTAGTAGTTAGATGGATTTTTAGGGAGCAGCGAACACATTGTCTCAGAGGAAAAGATGTGAGCAACCTCTGGAGTTATATTATCTGGCATAAACCATTATTTTTGCCTGTACTTTTGTCAGATTATATACTAAAATACATAATAAATACACCATTAATCACATTATGCATTCACTTGACACTGTCACTGACAGTCCTAACACCACAGAGGCAGTAGGCAGCCCTTTTTTAGGTAATTTAAATCAGATTGTATCCTTACATGTGACTGGACTATTCTGAAATGCATTATCCACATATAAATGTAACGCCTCAAAGACATCTTCCTCAACCTTATGGGCTGATCTTCATCTCAAACAAAAGGCTGTCACTCATGTTCAGTGACAGGTGTCAGCAATTCATATATTCTAAAGGCTGGACAAATAAAATCTGCAGCAGCATTTAGAGATCACACTGACAACACGCCACACAGCCTCGCCTGTTACATGCTGGCTTTAATAAACACTTACCTTCAGAGAACAGGTGAGAATATATCAAACAAGGTCAGCAGCGACAGTATCCGGTGTGTGTGTTTCATTTCATCCCGTCCTGATGAGGATTAAAATGATTTCTGGTCTTTACCTGTTGCGGTAGAGACGCGGCGGAGCTGATCCGACATCCAGCTGGAGACTGAAGAGGAGGGACCGAGTACACAGCCGGGGAGGGTGTGAGGACTGGAAATGGGCGTCTCCACAATCAAGACACACACTGTTACACATTCTGTTTCCGGGTATGACTTTCAAAATAAAAGCCCTTGACAGTTCTGTTCCCAATGATCTTCAACATACTTGTGACATTGTTCTTCATAACTCAGACTACTTAAAATAACTGATTATATTAAAGTTGATGCAAGAAGTCAGTGATGCCGTTGTACCAGTGAAAATTAAGTCATATTAGTCTTACCCACTGTATCACACACCTCAAATAATATTACTGGTGTGATATCTTCTTTTTGTAAATGTTTCAATCTTTTAATTGTAGTTTTACGCATTTGAATTGAGTAAAAGATACTTTTGCCAAGTTCTTTGCTATCTTCAAAATAAAAGCACACCTCAAAGCAAAATTACTGCTGTAGTATCTAATAATGTTAGGCTACTTATGATTTTATTTAATGTTAATTTGTTTTTGAAAATGGTTCAAATTATTTTAGATGTCAGGCACTGTATGCATTCAAAGCAAAAAAAAAAGACTTGGTTTGTGATTGTAACTCGATTTCAATTATTTGAACTCAGTATATTTTACTCAAACACAATACAATAGGTAACTTCCGCTAAGTTCTTTCTCTCATCTGTCCTATCCATTAAAGGCTAAAAAGCCCCAAAAAAATCTAAAAAAAAAAACAAAACAAAACAAAAAAAACAATTGTCCTGCTCTTCCCTACTTTACCAGGGGTGTCAAGTAACACTTCAGATGAAAGCTGAAGTGTTTGGGGCACCATTATCTGCTCAGATTCAACTAAATGCTTCAAAACTCATTGGCCGATGCTTCACAGTGCAGTTGGACATTGACCTGAAGCATACTGCAAAAGCAACCAAAGACATTTTTAAGGCAAAGAAGTGGAATGTTCTGCAATGGCCAAGTCATATCATCTGACCTGAATCCAATTGAACATGCGTTTCTCTTGCTGAAGCCAAAACTGAGGGCAAAACATCCAGTATATATGTATATGGCCCATGGGCCAGAACAGGCCCGCCAAAGGGTCCAATCTGACCTACTAGATGATGAGACTACGAGGTGCAAGGTTTTAGGAGCAAGTTAAACAGTTGGTTAAAGGATCAACTGCACACTTCTTTGCCACCTCACAGCCATTTTCAACTTTTGTAGCAAATGTGGAAGCTGGAAAATTGTAATGAAACACGCTACACTTATAATTATTATTATTTTTTTGTTCTGGTCTATTGGATTTCCTTTCGCTGGTCTAGCTGTCTCTGTTTTATCCTGGGTTGGCAGGTGGGGGGTTGTCTTTTTGTCCTTGTTGGTTCTATGTTTGTTTGTTGATGCTCTATGCATCTTTATTATACTTTTCCACCTTGATCAGAAAATAGTTCTCAAAAATATTGTCAATCCACAGCTTCAGTACCAAAGAATCTGTATCAGACATCTATCTTAAAACAATATTGGTGGAACCCTGCTGCTAAAAAACGGAAATGTATGGATAAATAGTAGGCCGACTCAACTTATTATTGAAATTGCACTTATTTTCTTCAAACATCTCAGGCGGTTCATCGGTCTTATATACATTGGGTTGTATGTGGCCCATGAACAAAAATGAGTTTGACACCCCTGGTCTAAACCATCTTCATTATCCAATATGTTCTAGTTAAAAAGTCAAAGTCATCATCTTTGTTTATTCCTGAAATACATTTTAAACTAATTCTTCTTATTATTGGATCCATTAATCCTTATTAATGTGATCATGTTAATCTTTGCAAGAACATCAGATGTTTCTGTACAGTATAAGACCTCCATTCTTACCTCCCCTTTTAAATATGTGTATATGTGAGTGTTTGTGTGCACGTGATTGACTCAGTGTACATATCATTTTACTTTGCTGTATTTTGTGATGTGAAAGCAAAAAAACTAAAATAATTCATGAAATTGCAATACAGAGTTTTCACTTTACCAATACACTTTTAGATTTTTACTTTTAAGGCAAACCACTTAATATCAGTGGTCTGACTGATGGTTGATACTGTCACTGGGCAGTAGGACAGATCAAAACCAAATTACACTTATAGCTGCTGTACAGCAATGGTCAGGGCCGGGCAATTTTAGGCAAAATTAGGCCATTCTGAGCAACAAGCAGAGTGTAGGAAGATGAAAAAAAAAGGTGGCATTCTAAGCATAAGAGACAATGCTTCATCTCACTGAGCTAATTGGCAAGAGACAACTCTGCAGTATATATGTTTAAAACTTCTAGCTCATTATAGGAATTCTACAGCTGCAATGATTAGGATATCCTCCTCAAATCTTGCTTTATCATGGTTTTGGACCTTTAGTCAGACAAAGTGAGATGTTTGTGGATGCCAGATTGACATATTGGATATTTTAGACAACTGGAGACCTTCCCTTATAGTGTATATGTTTTCAAGACAGGGACTTTTAATCTGCCATTGCACTACCTTATACAAAAAGAACAGTTTTTCCTAACAAAGAGGTGCTCATCCCATAACTGAGGAAAAGCCAGGTTTAGAGCATCAAACTCCTAGGTGGAATTCATTGATAAAACTGTTTTTAAGACAGAAGCTACTTTTCAGAATGGATTGGTGAGACTAGCCAAATTACTCTTTCTAAATCCCATACTGATGTTTCTTTTTCATAAATGTTTGTTATTCTGTTCCCTGTAGCTTCAATAACATTGTTAAACACTGATATCTGACCCAGCACTAAACCAGCAGCTCAATGGTCTCTTTCTTAAGAAGTCATAATCTATTTCATCATAAAACACTGAATGTGTGGTATATGTAAAAGCCCATGTGAAAAATGTAATACACACACACACACACACACACACACACACACACACACAAAAACAAAGCATATCACAACATAGAAGTTACATCATATAATTATGGCATGCCCTTCAAATTGTGGATGAGTGGCTGAAGTGATCAGACTCATAATATACAAAGGAAAGAAAAAACTCAAGAACAAGAAAGTAAGAATAACATTAACTGCTAGCAATTATGAACAGACTGGCCTGATCTAGCTTAAAGCTAAACATTATCCATGGTGACAAAGATGAAAACATTTTTTAAAATGTGAAGCTAAGCCAAATAAACAGGGAAAAGAGACAAGGGATAACAGGGAAAAGTGTTGATAAAGAGTACTTGTCTCTCCGCAAAACATAATTATTTTAACTTTAATAGTCTCTAATCCACATAGCAGGATGCCTGAACATAGGACTTTCACATTAGAATGTCTGTTCTGCCTTAGCTGAAGCTTGAACTCACAACTTCTGAGACTGAGGTCTGTCTTCTATCTCACTGAGCTAACTGGCAAGTGACAGTTCATGTGTGGCTTCACAAATTGACTAAGCCAAGCACCAGGGTGCCAGACAGTAGCCATCCATGCCATGGAAAAGCACATTTCAAATTGAAAGTTCCAAAGCTGTAGCACATATGGTTGATTTGTTATGAATTGATAGATATAGTTTTGAAATTTAGAGGCTTGCTGTAGTGCCACCATCAGGACTATTGTCTTGTGTTTCCAGTTGAGGACATCTGGCATGGGACTGGACCTTTATGAAAAGTTTGGGTAGATTTCTCATATGGAAATGTTGCACGAGCTGAGGCTTGAACTCACAATCTTCAACACCAAGAACCATCCTCTATCTCACTGGGCTAATTGGCAAA